AATTCCTCGAAAAACATGACAATCGCGTTGAATGTATAACAATTGATTAATCACTAACTTTAATGACGAATATCTTTCCTTATAAAGTTTTTTAAATTCGCAAAAATCTTTACTGATTATGAACGAAACTAATGCAATTTTACATAGAAATTGGATGATTTGAATAAATTTGGATCAATTTTCTTTATTATTAATATATTACTTTATTATATCAACTATTTAATCCAGTTTTTCTTGTAGGGAAAATATCAATTGCCGATGTTGATACAAATAGTTAGATTAATATAATTAAATGGGAACTTGTTGCAGTTGTTTTTGGTGAGCTTTCTTTCCCATAAACAATTAATTAATTTTATTCCCTTCCAATTATCCGTTCGCATCTAAAGAGCAACACGTTTGTATCGTTGTGACCGTTGTTTTGTTTGATGATCAGTAAGCAAAACAATTAAAAATTTAGGGACAGTTTTTTAATATAATTGACTTGAAATCAACTTGATTGAAGAAATCGTCATCTCAAGATGAGCTAATCGGACTTGAAATAACTTTTTTGTTAATCTTGAAATCAGATGATCTCGAGATTAGTTGCTTTCATTTTCACTACGGGAAAAATACTTTTACTTTCACTCAATTTTTACGATTCTGAAATGAACTCAGGTCAGTTTGGTCAAGGTATCGATTAATAGAAAATTAAGTTCTCGGTTGGAATAAAATAAAAAATATCGATAAATTACATTCAAACTTCGCGCGTCAAAAATCAGATAAGAAAAAAAAATTATTTTAAATTTTGGTGATTATTGTTTTACTATTTTGTGCTTAAACTTTAAGTGTTATTTTTATGATTATTTCATCAAAAATTCAAATTTAAATGTCTTGAGGCTCTTTCATTTCAATTCTGCTTGATGGTTGTGAATCTCGACCGTTTTTTGCCTTTTTTGTTTCTTTTCGGCCTTTGTCTTTACCGGGGTCCTGATTTCAGCTTTGATCTCGGCTGGTGAATAAGAGCCTAAGTTAAGTTAATTGCGTGTTTACTTACCAAGACTGTTGATCAATTCCAATTGGATTAAGATTCAGAGGGATAATTAAGTCAAACCAGTGCGATCATAACCAACATCTTACCGATTATTTATTTGTAACATTTAAGTGAACATCAAAACTCAACCAGCCTCCAATGAGAAGACCTAACTTGTTTTAAAATTGTCAAAAATTTAGTCTTTTAAATGTGTAACGAGGTTAACTGTTTACAATTAATGTTGACTCATTACAAATGGATGCGATTAGCAGCATCTTTGGATAAGAAATCATTTGACAATCTTTTTGTCTTCTATTTATCATCTAGTTAACTGATTATCACTTTCTGGTGCCAATCAAATTTTCTCAATTGTTACTTTTAACGGTGAAAATTTTGAAGTGATTTTTGCAGTTCAATGTTGGTTCTCAATCTACTGTACTTCTATCATTTATTGTGACATTTTCTTAAAATATGGTTGACATACAGCCACTTAAATGTTGTCCATTTGATTCCTCGCATCGGCTTTACCTTTAATTCACCATGACAGAAGTAAGTATTGACTCGTCAGCTTCCTATTTCTATTATCAACTATTCACTCACCTCTTACATTTAAATGTCTTCATTCACAGGGAATAAGTAATCAAACAATCAACAAGTTGGACTGTGGTCACGACCAAAGTGAACATTTCTATATACACAAATGTTTGAAGACATTTTGTGACAAGTGCAAGCAAGAAAATCACTCGTGTGTCTTGTGTAAAACTAAACTGATTGAAGATGATTATCTCAAAGCCATTGACAGGAAAAGATGCGAAGATACTTCCGTTTGCAATAGCCAGGCCATTTTTCATTGTCTCTGCGGTAATAAAGATTTTTGTGAGCTGCATCTGATTAAATTTCACAATTTAATTGTACCATCTAAGAGATGCCGAGCTATCGATCTCGAAACTGAAGCTCAATCATGTTCAAAGTGTGAAATGTTCATTGCTAAATTTGTGGACCAGACAACCAATCAGTTATTTTGTGCTACATGTAAACAGGATAATCACTCATCTAATATTGTGGCCATTGAACTTGACAACAGCAACACCGACAATTACAACATCAACACCACATTGAACAATAATATTTGCACTCATCGTGTTGATATTAGAAATCATTTGGAGTTATTGAACACTAAACTTGAAGACTATACGAATGAGGTGGAAAAAGAAAAGAGCAAGTTCAATGAAACCATCGACGAATTGCAAAAAGCATTAGAGTCTTACTCGAATGCTAATAAGGTCAAAATAGACAATTTACGAAATTCAGTGGACAAAGTTAAACAATTTTTGAATCTATTGAATCGCGATGATAAATATGGAATAAGCAATCTCATTAAATCTGATCTGCTCAATAATAAACTTGCGGACTCGAAACTGAAGTTGTGGATTGAAGAGATCTTTCAGTCGTACAATATTCCTGAATTAACAAAATCGGGTGCTGATTGGAGCGAGGAAAGTGAAAGTGATCCTTGTGAACTGGTCCCATGCCCACGGAATCGTCCAATCATTGTCCATTCTTTCCAGATAATCTACTTAAATTGACTCACGACTTTATTAAAGATCATCTTCGCCATAAAAATGAATGTAAATCTTTATCCTGCTACTGTAAATCAAACAATCTCATCTACAATATTCAAACAAAATTTGTTAAATTTATGAATCAAAAGCAAGTTTCTAAAACTAATCTGGATTATTTTCTCGACTGTTCGTCCATTGATGGTGGTTATGTTACTTTATTGATAGAAACTGGTAAACGAGCTCTGAGTAAGTCTACGGATCTACCAAGTGCTCAAATTTGTTTTGAAGAAGCTCATCGAATCGATCCAACCAATTGGTTTGTTCTCGACACTTTAATGGGTATTTGTTTCGTGCTTAATGATCACAATAAATGCCTACAACTCGCAATCAAAGGATTAATGAAGGATGGCAATTACTTTAAAGCTCGTGTATTAATATCAGAGATGTTGGAACGTTTTCCATCCATAGGAATAGAATTACCTGTCGAGTTAGAGTATCTGCACTATTGGAATTCTTCAGTTGATATTAAAAGGAAGAAAAAACTTATGGGTGACCTCGAGAATTTGAAGAAGCTCAACAATATAGAAAAGGAATCGGAAAAAGCACAAGAAAATGTTTTAAAATCTCTATGTTTAGATCTCGATGCTGTCACACTTTCATCGTTACAATCTTTGATTTCTGCCATAATACATGTTAACAATGAGATGGCAAAACATAAAGTTAATTTAAGTAAATTAATAACATTGAAAGTCTCTGCCAATCCAGCACCTTACGTCGTCCCTGCCATTGGATATAAATTCTCCAAAGAAAAATCAAACAATTGTAATAAGCGAAAGACACGAGGATCAAGTCCTGATTCATCTGCGAAACGAAGATCAGTTCGAGATAAAAAGGCAGTAGATGCAACAGTCGACAATATGTACAAAAAGATTTTCTTCATGTTCCCCGAAAGTGTTTTAACTCGTGAAATAGTCCAAGAAGACGACGAGTTAGAGATGAAAACACATAACGAAGATCAAGTGGAGGATCTAATTCTTACTCGTTTCCTCTCGAAACAAAAGCCGTTTGTCTCAAAAGGAAAACAAATTTACAATATTGTTGGAGATCTTTTATGTGAAATTGGTGATCAAGCAACTTTAATCAAATTACCTTCTAATTTTATGGAACTGTACCGAATTCATCAAAAATGGTATCCATTACCATCGCCGTTAACGTGTTCTAAGCATCATACTATGACAGTGGAAAAGGCGAAATTCATTTTGACAGCAAATGAAGTTGATTTTAAAGAATCCGAAGCAATATTTTTAACTGAATCAATTCCATATTTACGAGATTCATTCAATCCCAATGAATATAATGCCTTCTTCATTCGTCTTTTGATTCTTCGAGGGATCAAAGAATCTAAAGTTGATTATCTTCTAATGGCAAATGAAATGTTTACAAAACTAACCTCAAATTAGTGCGAGCGGCAAATCAAACTGTCTATACCTCTTCTAGTCTTAGATCAATGATAAACAAGATGAATGAAAATAATTTGGACACATTATTGGATCAGCATCGACACGAAGAAATTGTTGAACTATTAGCATCTAAATCTGAGCTCTCTAAACAAGAAGAAGAGTATCTTTGTCAAGCTATTCAATCGTCAAAACAATGGAAACGAGGGATCGAAATAATTGCTCGAAGTAAACAATTGACCGACACATTGCTAAATCTATTACCAATGTGTTTGAAGAATGGAGATAAACTATCAATTGATCGAGAATTGGCCATCAAATTATTAAAGTTAGGAACCGAAGATTACAATGCAATAGCCTGGACTTGTATTCTACAAACATTCATAAACGAGATGCGAGTTGGTAAATCAGACGAAGGAAAAATCACCGGTTTGATCAACTCAGCTCATGAATATCTAGGAATAAAGGAGCATGTTGTCACCCAAATGGCGAGTTTTATCTCGCACTTGATTATCTGATTAATCAATGTAGCAGAAAGAAAGAGACTAATCCAACAGTGTTTTGGTTGCTTCTACAAACAATTAGAATGTAGCTTTCTGACCCCTGCTCATCATGGAGCGGGGTTAGTTTAAGTTTAAACGATGTTGTGATAATTTACAATTACTACATTCCCAAAAGCTTCCAGAGTTTGAAACTAACGAATCAACAAGTTCTCAAGCTGTAGAGTTGTTCAAACGTTTACTAGCAATTATTCCTGACAATTTAAATCCTGAAAATTTTCCAATTTGTTCAATGAATATTTGGATAATGTAAAACCAATTGAGGCTTCATCAAATATTCCCAGACATCATGTTACTCAAGATATTTACTATTACTTAGCTGATTATTATTTCAAAACAAAAGTTCAAGTAAGTTTATCGATTATCATTAAGTCCAATATGTATTATTAATATATCAATTTTCTTTCGATTTGATTTGCAGAGAAGCTAAAAAATTTTACCAACTTGATTTAACCTTGAATCGTGATCGCTTCGACTCTTGGGCAGCCTATGCTCTTCTCATGGCAGATTCAATGATTCCATATTTTTCCAAGGTAAGTATTAGTACATATTCGCTATTAACATTCATCGATTTCTAATTACAAATTTATTATTCAAATAGGATTGTCGAGTTTTCTACTCATATACTAATGAGGTGCTGTTTTTAGGAGCAACTGCATGTCGATGTTTCAATGAAGCAATTCGATTGAAAATAACAAGTTCAAGGTATGGGCCGAATATGGAAAGTGTGCTTATGACATTGCGAGTTATATTTCTCGAGTAAAGAGATTTGGACCAGAGAACTTAAATCGAGAAGAAATGAAACAACATCGTAAACGATCTTACGAGCAGGCTCGAGTTTGCTTTGAATCGGCAAACAATATTGTTGATGCCGATAAAATTTGGCTTAACTATTATTACTTGGGAAAAATCGCTGAAAGAAGCAACATCTTACAAGCACTTCGATATTATGAATTATCTGACCTGCATTTGGCCTTAACTGGAGCAACTTATCCTTGTAGACTCGGTTATTATAGTTCATATTATACCCGCTATGAAATCGAAGCTCTAGAAGTCCATTATCGAATTCATTCCAGTGTTCTTAAATACATCCGACGCAATAGCGATAAATTGTCACCGAAAACATTATCACAAATTATGGCGTTTTTAACTCGTGCTGAAAGGAGCTTTTTCGTTGAGCAAATGGAACTGCCAAGTGATGAATTCACAGACGAAGAAATCATGGAAGATGTCAATGAAGTGGTGACTGATTTGATCGGTTTGGTCAGTGATGGAATTCTGGAGAGTGATGGACCACGATTATGCCAAAGAATAGTACAAATGTGCCAAGAAGCAATGAATAGGTGCTTGAAACGTTTTCTTGATCATGAAAGAAGAGAGTACTACTTTTGAATATTATTGAAAACCTTTAACTTGAATATTTGTTTTTAACTACAAGGAATGATTAATCAACCAATCGCCAAATTAGGCTGTGATCACGATCAAAGTGACGTTTTTATGTTCACAAATGTTTAAAGACATTTTGTCATCGTTGTAAACAAGAAAACCGACCATGTGCCTTATGTAAATCTGATCTCATCGAAGCTGATTACCTCAAAGCCATTGACAAGAAAAGATGTGGAGATGATTCCAATTGCATTTTTATAGCCAGAGATTTTACATTTTTATGTAACGAGAATGAGTAATCAACCAATCACAAGTTGGACTGTGATCACGATCAAAGTGAAGTTTTTATGTTCACAAATGTTTAAAGACATTTTGTCATCAATGTAAACAAGAAAACCGACCATGTGTCTTATGTAAAACCGATCTCATCGAAGCTGATTACCTCAAAGTCATAGACAGGAAAATATGTGGAGATGATTCCGTTTGTAACAATCAAGCCATTTTCCATTGTTTGTGTAGTAAAAAGATTTTGTGAGGCTCATTTACTCAAATTTCATCGAAAAATTTTAGCATCTAAAAGATGTTGTGCTGTTATCATCAATTCAGCCACTGATGAGCCTTCATGCTCCAAATGTGACAATTTTATCGCTGAATTTGTGGACAAGACAACTAATGAACTATTCTGTGAGACATGTAGTAAGAACAAGTCAGCTAGTATTGTGCCCATTGAACGTGACAATAACAACAATTATACCACCGTTAACATCGATATTGACAAAACTTTCATATTCATCGGATATTATTGAAAAGCAATATGATCTATTGAACGTGAAACTAAAAGTACACGAATGAGATTGAAAAGAAAAGGCAAAGTTCAATAACGAAATCAACCACTTGCAAAAGAATTGGAATCTTATGTGAACATTAACAAAGATCAATTAGACTCTTTGCGAAACGCAGCTGACAAAGTTAAACAATTTTGGATCTATTGAATCGCAGTGATAAACTTGGAATAACCAATTTAATCAAGTCTGATAAACTCAACTATAAACTTGCGGACTCGAAATTGAAGTTGTGGGTTGAAGAAATCGTTCAATCGTATAATATTCCTGAATTAACAAAATCGGTTTTAGCTGGATCGAAGAGACTGATTTTCATGAGTTGGTTCCTGGCCACGGAATTGGAAGTCTAATCATAGTCCATTCTTTCCAGATAATCTACTTAAATTGACTCACGACTTTATAAAAGATCATCTTCGCCATAAAATGAATGTAACTCCATCCTGCCCATGTAAGTCAAGCAATCTTATCAACTGTATCCAACAAAAGTTTGTTCACCTCACAAACCAGAGACAACTTACAAAAACGATTTGGATTATTTTCTCGACTGTTCGTCCATTGATGGTGGTTATGTTACTTTATTGATGAAACTGGTAAACGAGCTCTTAATCAAGCAGTAGATTTGACGTTTGCTCGAATATGTTTTGAAGAAGCTCATCGAATCGATCAAACAATTGGTTTGTTCTCGACACTTTAATGGGTCTTTATTTCTTATTCAATGATCACAATAATTGTCTACAACTCGCAATCAAAGGATTAATGAAGGATGGCAATTACTTTAAAGCTCGTATTAGTCTCAGAGATGTTGAAACTTTCGCCATCTTTAGAATCCAAATTGCCTGTCCGTCTTAATTATCTAAAAATTGGAATCCAGCAAGGCTTAGAAAGAAAAAGTAAACTTTTAGAAGTTCTGGAGAATTTAAAACAACTCCATGAGCGACAAAAGGAAAGTGAAGCAAAACAAGTTGTTCAGAGATCTTTAAGTTTCGATCTCAATGACATAAGCTATAACTCTTTAAAATCTGTCATTTCAGCCTTGCTAGACGTTAAAACAAAATGACAGAACATAAAGTCGATTCAAATGAGTTAATATCAATCACTATCTCTTCCAATCCTGTCCTAAATGGCAATGCGTCTCGATCTATTGATTGTTCTCACCAGGAAGCCCTAAATCAAAATAATAAGCGAAAGACACATGGGTCAAGTCCTGAGTTATCTGTCAAAAGAGATCAGTTCGTGATAAAAGACAACCGATGAAACAGTCGACAAAATGTACAAAAGATATTCACAATACTTTCTTCCTGAAAGTATTTTAACTCGTGAAATAGTCCAAGAAGAAGAGTTTCAGGAACAAACACAGAACGAAGCTCAAGTGGAACATTTTATTCTAACCAGTTATTGCTCGAAACAAATACCATTAGTCTCAAAGGAAAACAAATCCACCTGCTTATCTCTGATCTTCTACGAAATAGCAGACCAAGCAGATTTAATCAAATTACCTTCCAATTTCATGGATCTGTATGGAATCCATCGAAAATGTTATCCGCTGCTTTCAACTATTTCAATCAAGAACATAACACCAGAAGAGACAAACTTAATCTTAACTGCCAATGAAGTGAAGTTTAATCAACCTGAAGCAATATTTTGACTGAATCAGTTCCATATCTACGAGATTTATTGAATCCCAACGATTATGATAAATTTTCATTCGTCTTTGATTCTTCGAGGAATCAAAGAATCTAAAGTTGATTATCTTCTAATGGCAAATGAAGTTTTCGAAAATCTAACCTTAAATTGGTTCAAACAACAAATCAAACAGTTTACAGTTCATCTATTCTTAAATCAATGATAAACAAGATGAATGAAAATAAATTGGACATTATTGGATCAACATCGAAATGAAGAAACCTTTGAACTTTTAGCATCGGAATCTCAACTTTCTAAACAAGATGAAAAGTATTTTCTCAAGCTATTCAATCATCAAAACAATAGAAACGAGGGATCGAGATAATTGCTAAAAGTAAACAATTAACTGATCGATTGTTAAAACTGTTACGAGCTTGTTTAAAGAATGGAAATAAACTATCAATTGATCGAGAGTTGGCCATTAATTTGCTCAAATTAGGGACTAAAGACTACAATGCAATGGCCTGGACTTGTATTCTACAAACATTTATAAATGAAATGCGAGTTGGTAAAACTGACGAAGGAAAAATCACCGGTTTGATTGGTTCAGTTCACGATTATTTAGGTCATGGAGGTGCTTGTGGTGATAACAATGGAGAGTTTTTATCTCTATCATTAGATTATCTGATTAATCAATGTAACAAAAGAAAGAGACTAATCAACAGCTGTCTTGGTTGTTTCTACAATCAATTGAAATGTAGCTTCCTTATCTCTCATCATGAAGCGAGTTACTCTACGTTGGAAGGACATTCGTACTATTTACAATCACTTCATTCCTAAAACTTTACCAACTTTTGATAGTGAAACAAGTAAATCGATTGGCTCAAATATTGAGGAAATGTTACGCAATTTGCTTCCTTGGTCCCTGACAATTTAAATCCTGAAAGATTTTCCAATTCTATCAAAGAATATATCGATCATGGAAAATCAATTGAGCCTACAATTATTCCAAAAAATCATGTTACTCAAGATCTTTACTATTATTTAGCTGATTATTACTTGAAAAACAAAGAGGTTCGGTAAGTTAATTCATTTAATAGCTAGCAAATTTAAACGTTTCTTAATATTATTCATCTAATTCGCAGAGAAGCCATCAAATTTTATATTCTTGATCTAACTTTAAATTGCAATCGATTTGATTCATGGGCTGGTTGTACTCTCGCAATGAAAAATCTAATCTACCATTGCTATTCTTTGCCAGTGAGTATTTAATCTTATGTTTATTTTGCTAAAATTCTGATCTTTAACCAATCTCTAATTTCTTTTGAAACAGAGTTGTCAAGTTTTCTACTCAGCTATTGATGAAGTGTTGCTTTTGGGAGAGAAAGCAAGTCGATGTTACAATGAAGCACTTCGACTTAAAGAAGGTGAATCTAAATTAATGATTAAATATGGAAAGTGTGCTTATGACATTGCGAGTTATATTTCTCGAGTAAAGAGATTTGGACAGAGAACTTAAATCGAGAAGAAATGAAACAACATCGTAAACGATTTTACGAGCAGGCTCGAGTTTGCTTTGAATCGGCAAACAATATTGATGCCGATAAAATTTGGCTTAACTATTATTACTTGAAAAACAAAGAGGTTCGGTAAGTTAATTCATTTAATAGCTAGCAAATTTAAACGTTTCTTAATATTATTCATCTAATTCGCAGAGAAGCCATCAAATTTTATATTCTTGATCTAACTTTAAATTGCAATCGATTTGATTCATGGGCTGGTTGTACTCTCGCAATGAAAAATCTAATCTACCATTGCTATTCTTTGCCAGTGAGTATTTAATCTTATGTTTATTTTGCTAAAATTCTGATCTTTAACCAATCTCTAATTTCTTTTGAAACAGAGTTGTCAAGTTTTCTACTCAGCTATTGATGAAGTGTTGCTTTTGGGAGAGAAAGCAAGTCGATGTTACAATGAAGCACTTCGACTTAAAGAAGGTGAATCTAAATTAATGATTAAATATGGAAAGTGTGCTTATGACATTGCGAGTTATATTTCTCGAGTCATAAAATTTGGACCAGTTTTGGAAAATTCGAGAAAAGAAGCAATGAATCAACGGCGAAAGCAATTTTAGATCAAGCTCGAGTTTGCTTTGAATCGGCAAACAATATTGATGCCGATAAAATTTGGCTTAACTATTATTACTTGGGAAAAATCGCTGAAAGTAACATCTTACAAACACTTCGATATTATGAATTATCTGACCTGCATTTGGCCTTAACTGGAGCAACTTATCCTTGTAGACTCGGTTATTATAGTTCATATTATACCCGCTATGAAATCGAAGCTCTAGAAGTCCATTATCGAATTCATTCCAGTGTTCTTAAATACATCCGACGCAATAGCGATAAATTGTCCCCGAAAACATTATCACAAATTATGGCGTTTTTAACTCGTGCTGAAAGGAGCTTTTTCGTTGAGCAAATGGAACTGCCAAGTGATGAATTCACGGACGAAGAAATCATGGAAGATGTCAATGAAGTGGTGACTGATTTGGTTACTCTGGTCCATGATGGAATCCTCGAAAGTGACAGTGAGAAACTATTCACCAGAATAGTACAAATGTGTCTTGAAGAGATTCTTTACATTTTAGAAGATTATCATCGGCATTACAAATCACTCTATCGAATTGCTCATCATTATTTTCTGACTAAAGACTATCGATTCTCAAAAGGTACTTACAAAATCATTTCAATTTCCAACTTCTTCACAAGGCTTTTCATCAGATGAGGAAAGTTCAACTGCTTCAGAATGTACGTTTGAAGGTCTTTTGACTTGACTGTATCTTCGCGTCTATTCCTATTCAAACGACACCAGATGACATATTAGAGACCAGGAAGTTACGTCACTCATATGCTTCGATCAAGTCAGTTATTGATTAATGTAAACAAGAATTTGGGAGATGCTGAACAATTGTTTGAAATCACAACGCTTTTGGTTTCATCAGAATTGAGTAGCAAAGTTTCTTCGTGAAACCGATCGTATCTATCTTGGAAAACAAGCAATGGAAAATTGTTTCAACGTTTACGAAAGTCGAATTGCAAAAGCAAAGGAAATCGTAACAATTTAGATCAAATTAAAGAGGATGTAAGGAGAATTTGTAACAAATTGATGGAATATCCTATTTATAAACAACAGGCTCAACAATTTCTCGAAGAACATGTCGAATGTAACAATTGATTAATTTTATTAATCCATTTCCATGATGAAAGATTTTTTAACAATATTTCTCAAATTAGCCAGAATCTTTAACGAATTCTTGAATATTTCCTTGGTCATTCCATTTTATCCATTGGCCGACCTTTCACTCAATTCAACCTTTGAATCTCTTTATCCTTCTCTTATTCTTTCACAAATGTTTGAAGACTTTTGTGATGAGTGCAGGCAAGAAAATCGTTTAAGTTTCTTGTGGAACATTGAACTCGTCGAAAATATTATCGAAAATCTTGAAATTTATCGTGCTGATGTACAAAAGCGATTGAATCTATTGAACACAAAACTAAATGAGTATACGATTGAGATAGAAAACGAAATATGGCTAATTCAATAAAGAGATTGGTCGTATGAAATGAATTAAAATGTTACTTTAATATTTTATTGGTCAAAATAGATTCTTTGCGATCGGAAGTGGACAATGAAATTTCTTTTATGTTTATTTTTGTATTAAAATACAATTAACTGTAATTGATATTATCGAATGTGAGTCATTAAACTTATCAGAAATTAGCTTGTAAGAGAAAGAAAACGTTTACTCAAATCAGTTGGACAATTAAACTGTTATTGAGAGAAAATTTCTTGTTAATCAAAAGTGTATATCTTCGTGACATAGATCAGGCCAATCTTGGAAAATGTTTTTGAGAAGTTGATTTAACATTTAAACAGCGAAAAGAAACCATGACACTTTGGTGCCAATTAAAGCCGATATACAGAGAATGTGTACAAATAAAAAGTAAGAATAGATAAACATATCATCCAAATGAATTGGGATTAAGAAGGAAAATTCTGGTTAATTAACATTCGAGTCGCGCCTTTTGGTTTTGTTCCTTTTCTTTTGAATGTTTACAAATTCACGAAAATAATTTAGTCAAATTTAACCTGTTGCCTAAAATATTAAAATACAATATAAAGTTAATTGATATTTGAATGCGAGTCATCAAATTCATTAGCTTGTTAGCAGCAAGAAAGATCGTTTACTCAAATCAGTTGGACAATTAAACTGTTATTGAGAGAAAATTTCTTGTTAATCAAAAGTGTATATCTTCGTGACATAGATCAGGCCAATCTTGGAAAATGTTTTGAGAAGTTGATTTAACATTTAAACAGCGAAAAGAAACCATGACACTTTGGTGCCAATTAAAGCCGATATACAGAGAATGTACAAATAAAAAGTAAGAATAGATAAACATATCATCCAAATGAATTGGGATTAAGAAGGAAAATTCTGGTTAATTAACATTCGAGTCGCGCCTTTTGGTTTTGTTCCTTTTCTTTTGAATGTTTACAAATTCACGAAAATAATTTAGTCAAATTTAACCTGTTGCCTAAAATATTAAAATACAATATAAAGTTAATTGATATTTGAATATGCGAGTCATCAAATTCATTAGCAATTAGCTTGCTAGCAGAAAGAGAGATCGTTTACTCAAATTATTTGGATAATTTAATCTACAATCAACTGTAGTAGCAAGGAAAATTTCTTGTGAATTCACCCTAGAAATAAGCGAACTCTATAATTTAACCTAACTTGAATGGTCAATTTAATCAAGTCGGATAAACTCAACTATAAACTTGTGGACTGAAATTACGGCTGTGGGTTGAAGAGATCGTTCAATCGTATAATATTCCTGAATTAACAAAATCGGGTTTTAACTGGATCGAAGAGACTGATTTTCATGAGTTGGTTCCTGGCCACGGAATTGGAAGTCTAATCATAGTCCATTCTTTCCAGATAATCTACTTAAATTGACTCACGACTTTATCAAATATCATCTTCGCCATAAAATGAATGTAAATCTTTATCCTGCTACTGTAAATCAAACAATCTCATCTACAATATTCAAACAAAATTTGTTAAATTTATGAATCAAAAGCAAGTTTCTAAAACTAATCTGGATTATTTTCTCGACTGTTCTTCAATTGCTGGTGGTGATGTTACTCTATAAATTGAAACTGGTAAACGAGCTCTTAATCAAGCAGTAGATTTGACGTTTGCCCGAATATGTTTTGAAGAAGCTCATCGAATCGATGCAAACAATTGGTTTGTTCTCGACACTTTAATGGGTCTTTATTTCTTATTCAATGATCACAATAATTGTCTACAACTCGCAATCAAAGGATTAATGAAGGATGGCAATTACTTTAAAGCTCGTGTATTAGTCTCAGAGATGTTGAAACTTTCGCCATCTTTAGAATCCAAATTGCCTGTCCGTCTTAATTATCTAAAAATTGGAATCCAGCAAGGCTTAGAAAGAAAAAGTAAACTTTTAGAAGTTCTGGAGAATTTAAAACAACTCCATGAGCGACAAAAGGAAAGTGAAGCAAAACAAGTTGTTCAGAGATCTTTAAGTTTCGATCTCAATGACACCAGCTATAATTCTTTAAAATCTGTCATTTCAGCCTTGATAGACGTTAAAACAAAATGACAGAACATAAAGTCGATCGAAACTTGTTAATATCAATCACTATCTCTTCCAATCCTGTCCTAAATGGCAATGCGTCTCGATCTATTGATTGTTCTCACCAGGAAGCCCTAAATCAAAATAATAAGCGAAAGACACGCGGGTCAAGTCCTGAGTTATCTGTCAAAAGGAGATCAGTTCGTGATAAAAGACAACCGATGAAACAGTCGACAAAATGTACAAAAGATATTCACAATACTTTCTTCCTGAAAGTATTTTAACTCGTGAATTAGTTCAAAAGAGGAGTTACAGGAACAAACACAAAACGAAGCTCAAGTGGAACATTTTATTCTAACCAGTTATTGCTCGAAACAAATACCATTAGTCTCAAAGGAAAAATCCACCTGCTTCCAATTTCATGTTTACACCTCATTTTCCTTAAATCAATGATAAACAAAATGAATGAAAATAAATTGGACACATTATTGGATCAACATCGAAATGAAGAAACCTTTGAACTTTTAGCATCGGAATCTCAACTTTCTAAACAAGATGAAAAGTATTTTCTCAAGCTATTCAATCATCAAAACAATAGAAACGAGGGATCGAGATAATTGCTAAAAGTAAACAATTAACTGATCGATTGTTAAAACTGTTACGAGCTTGTTTAAAGAATGGAAATAAACTATCAATTGATCGAGAGTTGGCCATTAATTTGCTCAAATTAGGGACTAAAGACTACAATGCAATGGCCTGGACTTGTATTCTACAAACATTTATAAATGAAATGCGAGTTGGTAAAACTGACGAAGGAAAAATCACCGGTTTGATTGGTTCAGTTCACGATTATTTAGGTCATGGAGGTGCTTGTGGTGATAACAATGGAGAGTTTTTATCTCTATCATTAGATTATCTGATTAATCAATGTAACAAAAAGAAAGAGAGACTAATCAACAGCTGTCTTGGTTGTTTCTACAATCAATTGAAATGTAGCTTCCTTATCTCTCATCATGAAGCGAGTTACTCTACGTTGGAAGGACATTCGTACTATTTACAATCACTTCATTCCTAAAACTTTACCAACTTTTGATAGTGAAACAAGTAAATCGATTGGCTCAAATATTGAGGAAATGTTACAATTTGCTTCCCTTGGTCCCTGACAATTTAAATCCTGAAAGATTTTCCAATTCTATCAAAGAATATATCGATCATGGAAAATCAATTGAGCCTACAATTATTCCAAAAAATCATGTTACTCAAGATCTTTACTATTATTTAGCTGATTATTACTTGAAAAACAAAGAGGTTCGGTAAGTTAATTCATTTAATAGCTAGCAAATTTAAACGTT